CTTGTGGGTTGCTTAGAATTCTATTTAAAAATATATGAAGATTTGGAAATTAAGAAATCATCCTGTGGGAAAATGTTGATTAGAAAAAGAAAATGATAAGATGGTACTCTGAAAGTTGGATAATAGAGAGAATAGGGAAGAAGAGATTATAAAGATTATAATTAAAGGAGAAAATATAGAATGGAACAAAATACTCTAACTTTGGAATAATTCAGTATTGGTGAACTTAAGAGTTATGATTGTCCATTATAAAAGAGGTTACAGGTTCTGGACAAGATTAAGACTAAGCCTGATTTGAATGTGGATTTAACAATAATAGGTTACAAAAATGATGAGAAAAAGATGTTACACTGGATTTACAAATGAAATCAGCTGATGTCTTAAAAATTAAAAGGGGTATACAAATAAAAAACCAGAAGAATGACTTGAGAATATTAATTTGAATTTACAAATGGGACTCGTTAAAGTTTCGAAGAAGCTTCTGCGAGGTGACAAAGAGAAATGAAAAAGAATCACATTCTGAGACACTATGGGGGTCAAAGATCAAGCTTGTTAAAGAAAGGAATATAAAGTTGGTTTATTTGATCAAGGGTAATGTGATATTTCTCATAACTCTTAATGGACTGAATGGCAAGAACTTGTAGATAAGATATGAGTTATGGGAGAAGATTGGGGGGGGGTTGGTACAGAAATGGTGATACATTACTGAAATTGTACTTATGATTAAAGGGGAAGACATTTCCTTATTTTTCTATTTTGATGAGGGTAATGCTTATAATATGTTTTTCACGGGAACTAGATGGCAGACTTTAAGACCTCTTCTTCTTATCATAACTTGATGCTTCAGGAGCATGTTTTCATTGTGAACCAAAACACCAAAAGCAGTCTAATGTCTTAAGAACGATAATGGGAAACATGGAGAAAAAGAAACTCCTTATTTCTATGGCTTTTTCAAGCTTCAAAGAATGTGAAGAAAAATCTAGTAAGTCAAACACTAGAATGCTGACAAAATTACTTTATTATGTTGCAGTTTAGAATTCCATACCATAAGACTATTTCAACTTCAGATCATTGGTGGCTTGTACGTATCAATATATACAGATATCCATATGGGTATATTGATGTGATAGTCCCTTAGAGCAGGGGTGTCAAAACTATTTCATTGAGGACCGCATCAGGGTTGTGTTTTCACTGGCAGTGGATTGCTCGGAAGGCCGTTTTCACTGGAAGAAGCACCACAGGCCAGTCCTTCACTGTTTCCAGGGTGGCCCCGTGGGTCGGATCTAAGTACTCCACAGGCCGGATCCAGCCCCTGGGCCTTGAGCTTGACACCCCTGCCTTAGAGGTTCATTTTTCTTTCTAACACCCGAGAATATTGGGGGAAATTGCAGAAGAGCTCAGGACTCCACATGACTGCCTGCCCCTTGGCAGGCTAACGCTTAATAAACTGAATGGAATAGACCCAAATTTGGTACCATTTGAGAAGCTGGAAAAAGGTGGCCTGAGATTGCCTGGGAGAATGGAGGAGAGATGATTCCCCCACATATCCGTATGAGATTGAGTTGAGTGATAATTACCATCCCTCCTTCCTCCTGGTCATATGACCCAGAACAGAGTATATGCAGCTTATTCTTTGCTTCTGGGTACACAAATACACATGCTAACCCACTGATGTAACACAAAGTGAGACCATGAAATTTATAGATGCAATTGCTGTTTCATTACAAAGAAGAAAATAGAAGTGCCTCTTATAGCAACTGCTGGCAAACTGACTAGAAATAATTGCAGGAGCCATATAATCTTGTCTTCTGTGTTGCAATATTTAAAATGTTTATAAAGATTTGGATATTTAGATATATCAAAGGTTTCACATAATAATAAATAGAGCAGATATATGGATGGAGGTCATATTCATTTGTATTGCTACTAACTTCACTGGACTTTGTATTTTATTTTGAGTCTGTAAAATGGGATAGTAATTTATGTTGATTGAGAGTTGTACAATAGCTTTGTAAATTAATAAAATTCAGTTCTGTTTTACAGTTCTTTAGAATCTATAAGAAGCATCTTGTTCACTAATACAACTTCTTTATGTAGACATTTTCATGCTGGGTACTAAAATGAGAAGGTAACAGGGAGCAGGATTTTCTGTTTTGTTTGTTCTGAGTTGACTGCTGTTTCTTTCACTTAATAGCAGTAGTTACAAGACCTTTATTGGAAGCATTTGAATAAAATACACAGTCAAGTTGTTAAAGCATTTTGTCTTGTGGGCCTTAGTTTTCCATTTCCTATGTGACATAAATATTGACAAGCTCAATATAGTAATTTAATGGGAGTGTATGTTTGATTTTGTCCATACCAGCAAAGAGGAGTAACACTTAGAAGAAATAACATCTTTTATTAATTAAAAGGGTCCTAATTGTTGTGGGTTTTGCCCTTTTTCTTTGGAGATCTGGTTAGCACCAACCTGATGGTATTCAGGAAATTTGCCAGAGCCAAATGCTTTTAAAAATGTGTAAGAATTTATGACATGGCAGACTCCCCTTCCTATAAAAGATCATTTTTGCTGCTAGAAGTGTTTGTCTCAGTGTAAAGTTATAGCTAGAAAATAGATTGAGTTATTTTAAAACTTCCTCTGTTTTATTTTCTATAATTTGTAAGCAGTTCTGAACATTTTTGACTAAGCAGCATATAAATTACAAGAATGAATGAGTAAGAGATTGGGGGGGGGAATTACTGCATTAGAACATCTGTTATCTTATACTCTAGTAGGGAATTTGTTCAATATTTTTAAAGTTTTTTTAAAGTCCAATAATATTTTTAAAGTTTTAGTCAACTGGGTTAGCTTCTGTTTGCATGTTTGTATCCTTAAAAATGTGAGACAAGACTGCATTTACAAAATATTTATTTTAGCAAGACATTCTTCTTTATTTTTTTTTTCTGCAGTAATGCTTCCTGATATTTTATTGTCAATATTAAAAAGAACTGATGAGGTTGCCTTATTTGTGGCCAGTCTTAAATCCAATTCATTGCTCTTCAGCCAACTAAAACTGGCAGATTGATTTCTGAACTACACTGTGACTTTCACATTTATATTAAAAAATGTGTGAAGCAAATGAGAGTACATATGGTGCTTGATAGATGGCCCACAGATCCTCTGGGAGTTTTCCCCATTTTTCCCACCTCCCATCTGATCAGCATTCTGTTAGAAATTTCAACAGATCACTCGTTGCCCACTACTAATGTTAACAAGAAAATAGCCTTAAAATAGAAGTGCTGGGTGGAGATGAAACAAGGTCAAACTTAACTTATTTCCTTGGTATTAGCAGCAGTTGGGAGCCAGAAACTTACAAGGAGTTGCAGGTAAAATAGGAGGTTCTTCTCCCATAATGTTCTCAATTTAGCAGTTTAGTATGTTGTGTGAATGCAATTGGGCATGTGTAAGATATGCACATGTGAATATTTGTGATTCCAACTGACCATGTAGCACTGTTTGCATAGTAGGTACTTACATTGAAAATACAATTAATTGGTTCTGGGAGGCGCAACAAACACTAAAAGCAGTGACTTCCAAACAGACCCCTTTGTTTTGGCCAGGAAGGACTTCCTGTCTGTCCCTTTTCCTATATTAGCAACCTTCTTTACATGGCCAACTTCCTCTGCAATGGTCCTCCTCTTCCTTTTGCAGTGACCTTCCTTGCATGACCAACTTCCTGTGTGTTCTCCCTAGCCATCCTCCTTTTCCTATTGAAGTGTGTTGAGTACCAAACAAAGAGTCCTGGGCAACATTTTCACATCAAAAATACACCAAGTACCAAATTCAACAAGTTTTGAAGCAGTTGAGTACTGAAATAACACTGTAAAATGTTTGCTTATCAATACTAAGTACTCAATATTCAACTGAGAGATTGAATCCAGCCCCTTAATCTTTCTCAAACATTAACTTTTGTTTGTGTCTACTTAAATCAGGCAGGGCATTACCACTGCGTATGATACTTCCTGCTTACAGTCAAAATATTGTTACAGAGATTTGGGATATTTATCTTGTCTCTGCCTCCACTCTCCAAATAAAATATATTTGATTTTAAATAAATCATTTGACAATTCTCTATCAAAGTTCCCTATCAAAAGTTTCAATGATTGGATTAGCGACGTATCTGGTATAATATTTTAAGGTGGCTACCAAGTCCCAAAAGAGAGCAGGCAGTTACTCGCCTATTCCTATTGTGGTTTTCCATCACTTTTCTAGCATGTTGCTTTGAATCTGAAGAACAATAGACAAAATACAGTTTTGAAAAAAATAGTACTTTGGTTCCTAAAATTGATTCTACCATGCACTCATTGTGGGTAATTTTAAAATGGTAATCTTATTGCTGTTTTAAAATGATCTATATTATATCAATATAGCTATGGTAATGTGCAGGTACATATTTGGATAAATAGAAAATGGCCAGTAAATGCTTGGCTAAATGACCTAAAAAAATAACATTGTAGGTTCTGATATTTTGTATCAGAACATATATACTCATTCATTACTTTTTGAAAACCCAATTTAAGATCAGACCAGTCAATGATTTTAGGTATACTGTTTTCCAGTAGTTTCAATGGATTTTTGATGTCACTGATACAATGAATAAATTATTCAGTATTTACATTATACTTATTTCACTAATTCACTAATGTTATACTACAGTTCACTAATTTAATTATACAGAATTTATAACTTAATATACATTTTATTTAAAATTGTTTATAATTACAAATGTATATTGTAATTATATATCTTAATCTCCTCTTTCTCTCTTCCTCCATTCAGTTATTAAGCCAAACTTCTGGATTAAATAGATGTTGCTATTTTAATCTCTATAAAAATACAATCTGCATTTTTTATGTTTTCAAAATATTATTAGGCTTTATTCTAAAGTTGCAATGGAAGCATGTACGTGTCTCGTTACAATCACTTCAAGATGGTTAAGCAAAATCTCATTTTCTATCTACAGGTGATGTATCGCCAATCAGTATGTCACCCATCAGTCAGTCACAATTTATTCCACTTGGAGAAATCCTTTGCTTGGCCATCTCATCAATGAACTCAGCACGGAAACAAGTCACACAAGAAGCATTAATAGAGCACCTAACAACCTGCTTTCCTGGTAAAATATATACTAATCCATCTCTAAACAGGCACAGTTGATTAGGTTTATAGGTATATGCCCTGTTTCACTATAGCAATGGACCAGGTTTTCTGTTGACTTTCAATTAGATATTGTATATAATACATGCTATATATATACAATTATCAATAGATCATTCACCTGTAGTATCAGTGTGATTTCCAGCTATACATTTGTATGGATTCTAAACTAATTCCTCTTTTATTTTTTTAAAACGACATTACATAACACTTAATCTATATTGTTCTGCTTCCATGATTCTCCTATAATGGCAGAATCTACTATACCTTTAAATTCAATCTCTTCTCTCTCTGGTTACATTTGTGTTTTAAATAAAACCTATATTCTTTTACTTTTCTTCTTGTTCTCTTATAGGTCACATCGACATATTTTTCTCATACTGTTATTTATTTGAAGGTGTCATATTATTGTTAAGTATAGAGTTCTTAAAGAAAGAAGCCTTAGGCCCTTGTACAATGATTAACAAAGAGGCTACATTTATGCTAATTTTATTCTTTTAGTGCTAAGTACATTTCTATCTTCAGTTCATGAGGTCATACATTTTATTTAAATTGTTTTACAATCTCTATATACGAGCTATAATTCTTTCATGGTAGATCCAGTTAATAAACAAGATGAAATTTAGTTTATCATTCACCTTTACTCATTACTTCTAGACTGGCATACTTTCTTAGAACAAATAAGAACACTGAATTTCATGTAAAGAATCACAGAACGTTTTCCCAACTTACTGGGGACAAGAATGGCATATGATAATTACTGATCATTTAGTAATATTTTCTCCTTATATAAGTACTGTACCTAATTGGTTTTTAGAAGTGATTTCCTGTTCTTTATTTTAGATACATGCAATGAGTAATTTAAAATAACAGGCTTTACAGAAAAAAAAATTCTTGCCCAGGTTGCTGTTTTCTATTGTTTAAGAAAGTTATTGTATTTTAGAAGTCCAAATAATGCATCTTTTCAATTAAGTTAACATCATTGTTTTAAAGACTTTGCTTCCAAATATCATGATGTATGGAAGGCATATATTGCAAATTTAGCAATAGCACTTACACTTATATGCCCTTCTATAGTTCCTCACAGTACTCTCTGAGCAGTTTACAAACTTCAGCATATTGCCCTCAACAATCTGGGTCCTCAATTTACCAACCACGCAAGGATGGCTGAGTTAACGTTGAGCCAGTCAGGATTGAATTCATGGTTATGGGCAGTTATCCTGCAATACTGCATTAACCACAGTGCTACTACACTACCTTCCTATTCAAATGTATTTGAAATAGAGCCATCAAGTTTAAAGTAGGAGTTGAAAAAATACTAGCAGTTTTAAAACAGTTATTAAAGTCACATGTAATCTTATAACATATATATTTTTAAATGCATTCTAATTTGGGGGTAAATTTTTGTAAATGCTCTGATCAACACAGCTGTTTTGCCTGGGTTCTGAAATTCACATGTATAGATTGTGTGATGCCTACCTTAACAGCATATGAAACCAAATTGAAATTGTGGTATACATAGTTTACTAAGCAATAGGTGAGAAAATCTGAGCCAATATGCTACCGTGTTTCTCATATAATAAGGCCGGGTCTTATTTTTTTTTGAGCCCTGAAAAAATGGCTAGGCCGTCTTTTCGGGGGGGACTTAATTCCCCCCCTTGCATCTTCGGGCAGGTAGCGACGGCTTGGATGTTGACCTCGGCGTTTGTGGGGCACTTCGTATCGGGGTCAACAAAGGCAGCACCATATCTGGGTGTGCAACAAAAGTACTTCCTAATGGCAAGCCCCCCCCATCATTCCCCTCATTTCGCATGTTTTAATATAGGCCTTAATTTGGGGAGAGGGGTTTAATTTCATTTCATGCCTATATAACATGCTGGGACTTCCTATTGGGGGAGGCCATATTGTTGGAGAAACAGGGTAATTATTTATGGCATCACATTGCCAGCATTATGCATTTAAAATCAGATATGTTAAGCAAATGTTTTGTTCATTGAATGTCAATAACACATCTTAGAAGAAAATGATACTAGAAGATTATGCAGTATTTGGATGCCTATGTATTGTTGGAACTGTCTAGGGATAGAGACAATCTATCTGCAAGCTCACATTAATAATATAGAGACATCCGAGTCCCATTATGAAGGAACTTCAACCTATAATGTTAATTCTGAGGAAAGGACTGAGCATCTTACCCAGTCTCTTTCTTTTTTATTTTAAAAAGCAAAATAAATCTTTAATCTCTACAGATATTGAAAGGAGGTTCCCTATTAATTCATAAGAGAATTAAAACTTGGGAAAGTTGTGATTGTTTTAAAGCTGCTGGTTGCTGCTACTGCTGCTGCAGTCATGTGATCTTCATTTTCAATATTCCTTCAAAGGTTCCCAACCAGTCTTGCAAACCTCCCTTGCTGCTTTACCTACCCTGCAGCAGCCACTTAACTGCCTGCTTGAAAGGGAAAGTAAGAGAAGGGAAAGGGGAGGGAAGAATTGAGAGGAAGGAACTTCCGTGCACTCTTTCATCCATGCAGCTTCTCTAACCCATGCTATGCCCCCTCCACCTGAAACCATTAGTAAATAAGATCAAATTGGTTGGATTGACTGTTTAGATCAGGGCTGTCAAACTCCTGGGCTGTGAGCTGGATGCATCACATGCTGGCCACACCCATGCCCAGTTTATCGAAGGGGGGAAAGTCCCAATATGTCACATGACACCGCAAGTTTGACACCCCTGGTTTAGATAGCAGAAAGTTATTGAGGACAGCAATGTGCAGGATCCTGGAACATCCCACCACAAAAAAATCACACTGAAATGCTAAAAATTATGCATGATATCCAGTAACTGATAGCCTTTTTTTTTTTTTAAAGCCTCCTATAAAGTTAAAATGTAGTCAGATATAGAAGTTTTAATGAAAGGAACAAATTCAATTTTCTTCTGGACTACTGTATCAGGTTTATTGGAGGAATGTAAATTCCAGTTCAGTATTCCTATTCTGACCCCAATTAGGGAAGATTTTTATGCAAATGTATTTTCTAATCCTAATCAAGGCCTCTCACACAAACTTCTAATAGCCCGTGAAAACCTTCCTCTCTGGCCTGCAGTGAGAATAGATATTTTTTAAAACTAATATGAGATTTATTCTTACAAGATTCCAGCTCTTACTTTTCCAAGTTTGACTCATGAAATAGTTGTCAGTTGAAACCATTGACCAGGTAAATGAATATGTTTAGCATCTTTGTAAATGAAATAAGTATGTTCTTTCTTCTTTCATGATGCTAATTTATGTCAATATAAATAGTTCAGGGAAACCAGATAAGAGAACAAATAGATTCAAATGGCTTCTTAAAGTGTCAATGTCCAGCTTGTTGCTTGATTTGTCACTTTTATGAATTCATTTAAACCATTCTCCTACTAACTGCACATTATTAATTCTAATAGCACCATGAAATTTATAGAATCCGGTTTCTGTCATATGCTAGTGATACACAAATTATTTCTTTGTAAACTTTATTTTACCTAAGCACCTGAAGGCAGGACAAGAAGCAATTGATAGAAACTAATCAAGGAGAAAACCAGCCTAGAACTAAGGAGAGATTTCCTAACTGTTTGAACAATTAAATCAGTGGAACAACTTGCCTCCAGTTGTGGGTGGTCTAATGCTGAAGATTTTAAAGAAGAGATTGGACAATCATTTGTCTGGAATGGTAAAGGGTTTTCTGCTTGGAGAAGAAAGTCGGACTGGAAGAGCTCCAACGTCCCTTCCAACTCTGTTACTCTGTTAATTCTGTTATGATAATCATGTGGTTCCTTTGAATGGTTGCTGCCTTCAGCTGGTAACAGATTAGACGAGGGAAAATCAATGGAAGTCAAATGCAGTCAAGATGGAGATGGTCATTGTGTAGGATTACAACTCTTAAGAAGTAATGGATCCCCTCCTCTAGTTAGGGTTATATTTCTCCAGAAGGGAAGGTACAGTCTTTGGAGGTGTTTCTCAGTATGAATCTCTCAATTTTTTTCAGACCTAAGGCAACATCCAGGAACACCTTTAATTATGTTTGTCATATATATATCAGCTGCACCATTTCCTTGAGGAGAATAATCAAACTCGGTGCTAAATGCTATGATGATCTCCAGAGTTAACAGCTACAGGTGAAACTCAAAAAATTAGAATATTGTGCAAAAGTTCATTTATTTCAGTAATGCAACTTAAAAGATAAAACTAATATATGAGATAGACTCATTACATGCAAATCAAGATAGTTCAAGCTGTGATGTGTCATAATAATGGACAGTGAATGGCCCTCCCATAGAGAATAAAAAGGAGCAAAAAGGGAGTGGTGTTTGCAGGAGATAATTAGTTCAATTCATTAGAGTGAAGACCTGTTCCTGACTTCTTGCCAAATAATTGCTGCTACAGTGTGGCGTTTGGAAAATATCAACCTGGCAACTCTCCAAGCCTGATAAAGGTCTGTAATTGTGAAATCTAATGAAAGTTTGCCAGGACTTTGCTGGAGAGAAATTCACTTTAACCTAAATAAAAGGGGTTTTATCGGGATGAGGATAAAACCCCTTTTATCTGCTTCATGATCTTGGGAAGCCTAGGTCAGAACAGAAACTTCAATTAGTATACCACAGCTTGCTGATTTCCAGAGGATCTTAGAGAATCCATATTACACCATTGAAATCTCATTTGTAGTTATTTTATTGATTTGATATTGCCATCAGTTTTTCCTACAATGCTCTGGGATTAGGGTGAGATGAGAAATAATATTTGATCCATCAACTCAAGTAACTTCGATATAACTTATCTAAAAAAAACTGGTCTTTTTCCCAGGATTAAGTGGCTGCCACGGTAGCTTAGGAGATAGGCATTTTTTAAAGTTTTCCCAGTAGAAACTATGTGTGTTCTCACTTGTACTCCAAGTCACACATTGCCCTTTGAGTCCAAATCTCTTTGTAGCTGTACTGATTATTATATTTAAAACTCAACATCTATTGTACCAAAGTTTCTTAAAATAATTCCTTTTTTGTAGCAAGTCTGTTTCATGTGAGAGATTTCAGTTTATGCTCCTTGAGTCTTGCTAAGGACCATGGTGGGATATGTATCTCACTGAAATTAATGGGCCTGTTTTCCATTTCAGTTTTTTAAAGGGATAAAATAGTTACTGTAAGTCATACAGAGGATTAGAAAACCAGTAAAAAGGATGACACTGGCCTGTACTGGGAGTAGGATTTTTAAGGGTGTTTTAATCCTTCATAAGACTTTTAAAACAATCTGCTTTGTTCTACCATGTTTTCCTAAAAATACAACTTACCCCCAAAACAAGCCCTAGCCTGATTTTCATGCCTGAGCCTAATATAAGCCCTGCCCCCAAAATAAGCCATAGTTAAGCCCCACCCACTGTCTGGTTGTACGAGGTGGGGTGAGGCACAGGCATAAAAATCAAAGCTGGGGTGGGGGTGGAGCTGCCCCATGCATGCTGCAACTGCTTACCTTAGGACCTCCCTAGCCAGGCTTCCCATGCCTCGACACCTGTTGCGCTGCTGCCCGACTTCTGAAGCGGTGCTTGTGGTAGGAAGCCGTGAGGCTTGTGCTGGTGCCGCTGCTCATGGTATGATACCGCTTACATCGCAATGGCACAACACACCACGCAGCCTCCTGCAAGTGGTGGTACCGCCACAATGTGACACACAGCCTTCTGCCACAAGCAGCAGCACCGGCGCAACAAGCGATATGGCGTCCTGTTGTAAGTGGCGGCACTGGCGAGATGAAGTTCACAGAACATAAGGGTAGACAGCAGAAGCATAAAGAAATATAACTGTTTTTATATTAATGAAGTTAATGTGATCTTAGATATATAGTAGATTCAGATAAAAATCTATTATGAGACAATAGTTCATTTCTTTTATTTCTATCTAAGATTTTATTTTATCTTGTACAGTTACAAATCATTTGTAAAGATATATAGTTGTATTTATTTTTTCCTTAATAAAATCAATGTCCCTTGTACAATTTAATTTTACAGTATATTATAGGTTTTTCCATTGATTGTATGGGTATATACTGTAGGTACATGAAGTATGGGGATGAAATTTAACTTATCTAACATGAAAAGTGATCTTTCTAATAGCTGGATTTCTTTTTCACAGTTGTATCATGGCAATAGTTAGTGTTAAATCTAAAACGTCTTTATGTATAAAAGAGTCCTGTGTTAGTCTTTTTTTTTCTTCAAGTCATAAGATAGTGATCTGAAAGTCTGTAATATACATAATGGTTGTAACACGTGCCTCAGAAAAGCCAGCTTTTCAGAAATACAACTAAGAAGTTGTTTGTATTATATTCAATTTATATGACAGAAATTCACCTATATCCTAAAATTGTTATATTGTATTTTATAACTTTTTATAACTTTTAGGAAATACATAATATGCTGAGCTGCTTAATCAGGCATATCCAAAACTTCAGTTTGAATAGCATTTTTATATTATAGTTGCAAATGTCTTAAAAAAAACCTATCAAAGCAGCAGTGGTCACTGAGATATCAAGGAAAAAATTTCAAAGATATCTTCATATCAAAGTAACCTGTTGAATAATATGTTGTACTTCATTTTTATAGATCATATATATACTAGGAATATATTGGGGATTTTTAAAAGCCCCTTTCTTGTTAATTTTCATGTGTTTATTTAAACAGGAGAATTATGTCTTTTGATTTCTTGCTTTTGTGTTCTAAAAAACTTAATTAAAAAAATATTTATCAATATTCTCTCAAGTAGAAGAAAACAGATTATAATTAAACATTTGGTTATAAATTTGAATTTTATCAATACTTTTATCGGTACTTTTAAAAACCTCACTAATGCTTTTCCTGTTTAATGAACAATTTAAAATTTTCAAGTGCAAACAATGTTGAAAGAAACCCACAGTGAGATGCTTTGCCAGGGTATTTTTGTTTTTTGACTTTTTTTTGTCTTGTGAAGATTATGGATTATTTGAAGGAAGGGCTTCAAAAGAGTACTCAGAACTATCTCTGATAAAATGCACCTCATTTTTCACCTTATTGTTTTTTTTTTAGGTGTTCCAACTCCAAGTCCTGAGATCCTTCGTCATACCTTAAACATGCTTGTACGAGAAAGAAAAATATACCCAACTCCAGATGGTTACTTCATTGTGACCCCACAGACTTATTTTATAACGCCTTCCCTCATAAGAACTAACAGTAAATGGTACCATCTGGACGAGAGGATACCTGACAGGTCTCAGTGTACCTCTCCACAGCAAGGAACAATTACTCCTTCCACCTCGGGCTGTGTCAGAGATCGAACGTTACCTAAAAACCACTGCGACTCCTGCCATTGTTGCAGAGAAGACATGCATAGCATGCACGCATCAACTCTACAGAGGAAATCAACGAAAGACTGCAAAGACTCTTACTGCCCCCCTTCTCTTTGCCAGGTGCCACCCACTGAAAAAAGTAAAAGTACTGTAAATTTTTCTTACAAAACAGAGACACTTTCAAAGCCTAAAGATGGAGAAAAGCAGTCAAAAAAGTTTGGGCTAAAATTGTTTCGACTGAGTTTCAAAAAAGATAAGACAAAACAGCTGGCCAATTTTTCTGCCCAGTTTCCTCCTGAGGAGTGGCCTTTACGGGATGAAGATACTCCTACCACTATACCTAGGGAGGTAGAAATGGAGATTATTAGGCGTATTAATCCTGATCTGACTGTAGAAAATGTCATGAGGCACACTGCACTAATGAAGAAGCTTGAAGAAGAAAAAGCTCAAAGGAGCAAAGCTGGATCATCAGCTCATCATAGCGGGAGAAGCAAAAAGAGTAGAAGTCACAGAAAATCTCATGGAAAATCTCGGTCGCACAGCAAAACTCGAGTCTCTAAAGGAGATCCTTCAGAGGGTTCCCATTTAGATGCGCCAGGTGAAAGGGAATACGATTTCTATGATCCTCTCATGAGGTCCCCAAGGGAAGGCTGCTACATAATAGAACACAAAAGGGACAACTTTATCATGCACAGCAGTCCTAATGTTCTTGAGTCTCATTTTCCTATGACACCTGAATGGGATGTATCTGGTGAACTGGCCAAAAGGAGAACAGAAATGCCTTTTCCTGAACCTTCAAGAGGAAGCTCCCATTCTAAAGTCCATCGAAGCCACAGCCACACACAGGACCGAAGATCAAGAAATGAGAGATCTAATAAAGCCAAGGAACGATCTCGATCTATGGATAACTCAAAAGGACCTCTGGGTACTGCTTCTTTAGGTACCCCAGAAGACATAGCTGAGGCTTGCAGCCAAGATGACCAAACAACCAATCAAACATACATCGATGATGGCACCTTAAGGCCTTCACAATCACTTAGTCATCAAAGGGCTCTTCTGTCATCTGTAAATTACAAAGAGGTAATTAAACCTGAAAAGACTATTGGCAGTGCAGAAACTCCTACTTCCTGTACCTTGTTAGAACAAAGCAAACCAACTGAGAACATACCACCTTATAATGAGCTCAGTTCTTGTACAACAAAATCAGCCATTGATGATTATTTTCAGTGTAATACTTCCAGTGAAACAGTACTCACAGCTCCTTCACCTTTAGGCAAAAACAAAGATGACAGTGACCCAGTGACTTTGGCAGACAGTACGAAAAAAGTCTCTCCCTCAGAAAGACAGTCACAGCACTTAGCTAGAGAACCAGGAGTCCATAGAGAGGAGTCACCTAAAGGGCCAAGTAATAGTAGTGGGCCAATTGCTACAAGTCAGACAGCTGAGGTAATTACAAATGGCCGACTAGCTCAACATCACAGCACAGAGTCCAGTAGCCTTGATAAGAGGAAAGAAATATTCAGTAAAGACACACTTTTTAAGCCTCTCCACAGTACTCTATCAGTCAACAGTTTTCACAAACCTAATGTGCCACACTTAAAACCTCATCAAAAGACACCTTCTGAAACTTTGCCAAGCAGATGTGATAAACTTGAACAAGCTATGGTAACCTCAGTCACACAAGTCATACCAATTTCCCAGAGGCAGCAAGAAACAGCTGGGAACCAAGAAGCAGCTTTTGATTATTATAATGTCTCTGATGATGACGACTCTGAGGAAGGGACTAATAAGAATACAGAGGAAGAGAAGAATCGGGATGATGTAGGCACTATGCAGTGGCTTCTTGAGCGAGAGAAGGAAAGAGACTTGCAAAGGAAGTTTGAAAAGAATCTCACTCTACTTGCTCCAAAGGAAACAGAAAACAGCAACAGCCAGAGAGCCACACATTCAGCAAGGCTGGACAGCATGGACAGCAGTAGCATCACAGTTGATAGTGGATTCAATTCTCCACGGTAAGATTTTAAATTAACAACATTAATTTTAAACAGCCTTAAATGTACTGTCTTGTTACCATAAACAACTAATGGAAATATTGCAGATTTATAGTGTTTTAGGTTGGAGTTTTCCTATAGCTTGAGGCAGTATTTAGGGTCTTTGATTTGTGTAGAATCTGTATCACAACGGCTTGGTATCAATCACTTAAATAATTAAATTATGACTTCATATAATAAATCAGACTTTTTCAGAATAACATTTACATTGTAGTAGCTTAACTTCCCATCATTGGAAGATTTTGACTTCACCTCAGCTACAGATGCTTGATGTCTTTGGCTGCAGGATCATACATTTCAGGTGTCTGTATATTATAGATTTAGCCTATTGCTAAAGTAATTGTTTAACTGTGAGATAAGGCTTAACATAGAGTTAATATATAAACCATGTTGGTGCGAGGGAAGCACCTCTCTTTGAAGTGTTGAAGCAGGTTCTGTATATTCATGTACAGATATTTTGGTGACTACTGCTGAAGCCAGGCATTCTAGATTTCTTCAAAGGTTTGAGATATTTTTTATAGCCATACTATTTACTGTTTTGCAATAAATAGAGTACCTATTTGTCTCTGTCCGCTTGTGGTAATAAAGGTTCAGAGTTAAAATAATTTTTATCCTAAAATGAATTGAAAAATACTGTAGAATTTCAAATGTTCTATATTTCTCCCATGGCATGAGTTCCATTTAAAGATAAACAGGTTGGAGAAAATTATAAAACTATTGACTTCAGATTTATTCTGTCCCTAATGTTATTATAAAGAAAGAGAAAACAATACCGGGAAATACAGTTCCTTTCATTCCAGCCTTTTGCAAATTTATTTAAGGTCATCAAATATTGCCTACAGAGTTTCAAATACTGTCTTTGAAGGAAGTTATGCAAATTATTTATTTTTAAAATAAAAGCAACTTAAAACTAAATTTTGCAGCTATACCATATTCTACAAAGTGTCTTTGCAAATTTTCTTCTTTTCCTAGATATTTGATACATTTGCATCCTTAATTGTGTTTCTGATTTATCCACATTATGCATCTCTTCCTGGGAATTTGTGACACTTTCAAAACAGGGTGCAAAACAGAAATATGCATGAAGTATTAATAGGTTATAATTTTCTTCCTTTTTTTCCTGTAATTTTTGGACAATTCTTAGAACAGTACAAAATTGGCCCATTCAATTATATCAGAAAGGAATAACGTTACAGCAAAAGAGACATAGATGGATATATGACTGGTTGTTAGGGCCAGACTTGATTCTAAAAGAAAGCTAGGGGTTAGAAAGTACCTTACAGTCAATAGATACAGTCAAAACTATATCTCTCCCATTGGACTATTTAACTATTTGATTCTTTGTAAGTACTTCTAACTCAACAGCTAATATCGGTGGATAGCTGGACAACAGCAAGTCAGTCAAAAGTTGCAATTAATATTTACCACTTCATTTGACATTAGATATTTTAACAGCATTGATTTTTAGTATATCTTATAGAGTTAATCTACATGTATTAAACTTAACTAAAAACCCAGTTATTTAAAGTAGAAATTTATAATCTTTCTGTGGCTAGCTTAGATCTACTGTATATAGAGTATCTATTTATAAAATATGTAAAAATAATAGAAGAGAAATCCACTGAAGTGAGACCAAAATCTGAAGTCAGACAGCAAGAAAACAAGCAAAGGATTGCCCAAACACCCCAGATATTATAATTTTCCTACATATTTCTTTAATCTCAAAGAAAAAAATGGTACAGATACTTACGTGCACGAATAATACATTAGTCTTTATATGAAACAGTTACGTTATTTTAATAGACTTGGAGTTAGCTGCAGAATTTCTATTTTTCTGAATGTTGCTTGTCATTTAATGCTTCTACGCTTGTGCCAAGAAACCTGAATTTCTCAGACCTTCCTGTTCCCTTTGTTTTGTGGTCAATTTTTGAGTTCTAATGCTACTTTTCAAATTGGTTTGTCTGCTACTAACTACATGTAGTTGTATCAGACCAGACTAGACTATATTATTGCAGCTGTTTTGAATCTTATATAGTTTTACATAATACCTAAGGAAAATAGGCACAGCTTTCTAAGAGATATAGCTGTCTTTGCATAAAGAAAACATTTGATGTGGCTACTTCAATAAGGGCCTTTTTATATCACTTCAGCAAACATACTATTGATATTATCATAAACGTAAGAAACCAGTTGGAATTCAACATTTATCGAGGATGTTAGCTTGGAAAATCAACATTAGTAAATTATATGCTTTTCATATCTATCTCTTTCCTGCTATTTACCTACCGTAGGCAGCTGATGTAGGATCTATCAAAAACTAAAACATTCAGTGTATGATTAAAATGATGACAATATCGTAAGTGTCATCTCCCCCCAGCTTAAAAGAATACACAAACAAGTGAAGAACATAAGGCCATTCTGTCCAGGAATAGGATCAGTTGGCTTTGTCTAGAAAAGTGCAATCCCATCAACAATCAAAGATGAAACATCACCAGATCTTGGGAAGCCAAAACCTTCAAGCCATTCTACCTGCTAATGTTTAATTGGAGCTGGTTCTGCCCATCCAAACGTTCACAGACTCCAAGAACTCCAAGAACAAAAATTTCACATCACCACCTGATCAACCAGGGGTGGTGACATATAACTAGGTATCATCAACTTATTGATGACACCACAACCTGTGTCACTGAATGACCTCACCCTACAATTTCATATAAAAAGGTTAGAGACTCAAGTCTTGAGGCACACCATACTACAAAGGCCTAGGGTGGACCTCTCCCCCCACTTAGCACCAACATACATACATACAGAATTAAAATATTTATTACTACAGACTAAATTTGTTTTGCAATGTTCTGCAATTTATTCTTTCCTTTAGCATTATACCAGGGCTGTCAAACTCCCAACCCACAGGCCGGATGCATCACATGCTAGCCACGCCCACACCCGGTTTAGCAAAGGGGGGAAAAGTTCCAATACATCATGTGATGTTGCCATGACAACATGAGTTTGACACCCCTGCATTATATTCAACCATTCAGTTTGTTTCATATGCAGTTATGATTACAGGTATGATAACAAATCTTTGATCAAAAGAAAATCTGTCACTGGTGCATAAATTTTTTTATAAAGGTTTCTAACACTTCTTCAACATAATATTATTACAATAATTTCTAGCATGTGACAAATACCAAGGAGTATTGCATTTGTCTAAACCAGGGGTCCCCAACCTGTGGCCCATGGCCCACTTCCGGACCGGGCCTACTCACAACCGAGCCATGTAAGTTGTGGGTGCATGCACGTGCAGTCCCACTCACTTAAGCAACGGGCACTCACAGCCCCACTTGCAGAACTGTCCTGCACTTACAGCCATCCTCACGCTCGCAGTACCCCAAAGCCTTTTATGTAAATGGAGCTGCCCATGTGCGTGCGCCGGCCCACTGCTTGGGTGACCTTGTTCCCCTCTACGTCCCACAACCAAGCCACCTGTTCCCAATACTCCAGAAACGGAGCGGTGAGAGCAGAGGCTGAATGGGACAAGCGCACCTGCTCAGCTTCGCAGATTCACTGAGGCTAGCTAGCTGCACAGGACACCTGATCCACTTTTGGAGTGTTGGGCAGCCTCAGTGAATCTGAAGAAGTGCAAGACTGTGCCCCCAAAGGTTTCTCAGCCCCAAAAGCTTTTGCAAACAGATGAAAGGCTTCAGTTCATCTTGTGCTGTTTCAGGCCTTCCATACCTTTGCAAAAGCTTTTTGCGTGGAGAAGCATGAAGGAGCTTGCACCCCAAAGGCTTCTGTTCTCTCTTATATAAGTGGACCTACACATTTGTATGCCAGCCCGTTGCTCACACCACCCAGTTCTCCCCCCCACCCCGTTGGGGTGCCGAGCCACAAAGTTTGGGGACCGCTGGTCTAAATGATTATGCGTAATTTTTATTTGGAAGAAATCAAATATTTTTTTTCTGTTATCAGCATTTGTACACTGACAATATAAAAACACATAGAGCATCTATGTATAAATGAGAACATCTGATTTACTTCCTGTATTCTACATTGATACATCATCATTTTTATTTTGAAATGTCTTTTATTTCCTGAGTCTTATTCTGGCTCCTTTGTAGTATTACCCATATTCCTGAAAATCAGGAGTCTGATAGGACCATAATTTAAGGCATAGATTTTAATGAACTGCAACTCACTAAATTAGATTATTTTTCATTTATTTGTTTTTTTTTCCCACCATGATGTTACTCCAATGTCCATATTCCTGAAGTAATACAGAAGGTAATAAAAGAAGAATAATTCATAGGAGCTGACTAATCTATTACTGCTCACAAATATGTGACCTGAGGTGTAATAAATAGTTAGATCTGTTTATATAGAGAAATATGGCAGACGTGTTCATTTTGATTTTTCACTGGTATTAGATCATAAGTAATTTTATATTTCTGCTACAACATGCATTTAATATGTTACCAATGCATGACTTCTTAGAAAAGAGATACTAGCCCTAGTAGTAGTCTAATTGCAACAGAACAATTGATTGGCTGGAAATATTCTACTATAAGCTAAACAATATTGTGAGAAATATAAGCAGCAAAATAAAATAAATTATATAAAGCAATAAAGCAAAATACAGTAAAGTAAAATAAAATATGCAAGGAGCAGCCTTGCTTTCCTGTACTGGTTTTGTATGTATCTATGTATGCATAATATTAAACCAATTATAAGAAGAATTAGAAGGCAGGTAAAGGAAACAAGAAAGTTACTAACTTTATTTAGTATAGTGAACCACAATTTCTGATAATTCTGGCTTACCATGAATCAATCAGTGGCAGTGGACATTGCTCAATCATCCTTCTCAGCAGAGCTACATAGATGGGTAGCAGTGCCATGTTTTTCTTACTGACTTGTCCAAATCTTAGTACAGTATTTCTGGAATATATATGAGGTATTTCTTCTAACCAAGCTAAGAATCAAACGAGAACAAATAATGATTTTTAATTCTGGCTTGGAAGGCAGACAAAATCACCAACACCATGAAAAGCAATTTACAGAAATAGTTTCCAGTGTCTGTGTTTACTCGAGCCAATCTTTTTTAATTGTTAACAAACATATTGGCTTGTGTATACTAAGCCAGAATACTTGGAAATCCTAATTCACTATGACATACAAATTCTATCAATGTCATTTGTCCCAAAAATACCAATTGATTTTTTCCTACCCCCATTATATTGTGCCTAAGAACTACCAAGTGTTAACTTGCTATACATGTAATTACTGTTTGCCTTCCATTGCTGATTATGTTTAGATGTTTGGTTAAATTCTTCTCTAATATATCAATGGATTAAACATAAATTCAAACCTTGGACATGGTTGACAGATAAAACTGTGGGAGTTATCATTAGAAATACGGTAAGTTATTTTGAAAAGTCTAGGGTTCTCTGTGCTATATGAGAACTTGTAATAAAACAATAATTCATCTATTTTTATTCAATCATGCAGGGACACAGCTTATTGAGGATAAATGTGTCCTTGGATGGACAGTCGAAAATGCAAAAATGCCACAATTCACCTGCAGTATTAGAACATCGATTCTCCCAGTTGAATGACAAGCGATAAATCCAATTCTAACATTAAAAAACCGCTAGAGTGTTATTAATAATTCCAGCATCTCTAGCTCCATGTTTTTTTAAAGTTACATATTTATAAAGTATCACTGTAGTTTAATACTCATCAATTTTAGAAAGAGCTATGAATCTTCAGTATATTTTAAAAGATCAACACACACACACACACGTGTGTGTGTGTGTGTGCGTTTGTATATATATTCCACAACAAGTGGAACAGGAAATGGTAAATTCTGCACAAGAGGCTGGGTTCTGCAACAACAATATAATATGGAGTGAAATCAATAATTTGTTTCCTTAATGTACAGAATTTATTCTGATTCTGCTTGTAATGCTAAGTAAAAATTTGCTCCTCTTTGGGTAGATAATTTGCAGAAAACATTCTTTAGACTCTTTCTTCTATCTTTATAGACACGAGGGACTAAAGCCTGGCTTTCCTTAAAAATAAGTATGAAATATATGTTTTAGTACCTGGGTGGAATTTACAGAATAGCATATATTTATAATCAGACTCAGAAGGTTCTCTTGATGGCTCTTTGTTTTTTTCCTTATGGCTGGCTCGTGGATATGTACATTGGTTACATTGATAATTATGTTTACATTGGTTACATTGATAATTATGTTTTCTCTTTCTTTAGTACCCGCGAGAGCTTAGCTTCTAATACTTCAAGCATTGTTGAAAGCAACAGACGCCAAAATCCAGCTCTCAGTCCTGCTCATGGTGGTGTAGGTCCAGTGTTCAGCTTCCGAGCAACTACTGATCCTCCAACAAGTGAAACTGAAAAACTGCAGAAACCCGCTAATTGCTTGCAAGCTTCTGTTACAAGTGTTTGATAGTGCTTCTGCCTCACATCTTCTGTCTCATCGTATACATCAAAGTTTACGACACTGAGATTGATGTTTACGTGTTTGGAGGGAAAAAAATAAACCAGGCATTTTAATTGCATAGTTTTTGTGTCAACCTAAACTGTGCTGCTAGATAGGCTAGGGGCAACAAAGAAATCTTTATTTCAAGGCATTGCTTTTCACATTTTGCGGCTCTGTAGCAACAGAATAGGGACAATATGTACACTTTTGCTTCACTTATTGTAACTGAGCACATATATGAAAGTCTAGACACTGTAAGTGTAATCTGCATTTTCAATGTCATGCAGTTGCCAACTTCATTTAAAAATGCCACAGATATGTGATGCCCCCACCACTGATTAAACTGTTTACCACAGATGTGATTTTTTTCCTTTATAAACGGAGCCTTCATTGAAAGTAAACAGCTAAGGGTCACCTTGAAGGCAAACAATGCCAAACAAGATTAGGAAAGACCTCAGCTCTACCTGTGAATTATTTATATATCTGTCATTTTCACTGTGAGTCTTCATGACATGATCTTGCAAGAAATCATAGCAAAAGTAAGTTAAAAGAGGTCATGTTTTTAAAATGTGGGAAGAGGTAGGAGCTAATGGAGAAGTTGCCTATTTTTATGTTACTTGAGTTCTTTTAAAGTAAAAAGTAGATATTTGCCTAAATCTTATTTTTAATTTTGCATATTTGCAAAGAGGGGTTTAATACTTGTAATAGATGGCGAGTGAAGAAAATACTAACTTTGACTGGGACACATCGTTAAGTGATAGGAGAGGTAGCAAACATAGCAAATATTAAATAGCAAATAAAGTTAAGCAATCACTTTAATGTGTTACCCCAGCTATTACCCCCCAAATATTACTAATATTGAAAGAATTTGAACAATTATTTAGAAAAAGCTCTTTGTAATACAAATAATAGTGGCCTGAAGAGTTGATTTCTTTCTATGGAAGGACATATTATATTTCTATTTTATGTAGATTTTAGAGTGCCTAAATTAGGCTATTGAAATGAGCATACATTGTAGAAAACAGATATAGAGACTAATAAACTTCAGGCTTTTTATTGAATTATATTTCTTTGTAAGTAAACATTGTATGGAAATACTAAGTTTAAGAACAATCAGAGGAATTGAAATTAAACATATCTAGAAGTGTTGCTGATATGCAGAGAGATCACTTTCCTGATATGAGAGGTGATAAAAAGACTCATTGATGCATAGAAAGTTGAATTAAATTTTTCATCATCAAAAGCTAGGTCCATAAAATACATTATTTACCTCTCATATAAAATTCACGAAGTTAATAGCAGAAGTTCTGTGTACATTGGTTTATTATAAAGTATTTGTCCTGCAATGGCTAATCCAAAGTAATTTATTTTTGAAAAAAAAAAGTATACTAAATTAATGGTTAGAGAAGTTTACAGTTTCAAAAGTAAACTTGAATAATATAAAGGGCCAAATTCTGCTTCAGTTATTTATGCAATCCCACATTGCAGAAAATTAGTTTTTCAATCATAATTGTGGTGCAAGTCAAACTATGAAATTCAGTAAGATCAGGAGTAGTGTAAATTGTTGTGCACATTAGCATTTACACTATTTGTCTTCTGTTGATCTTTAGGTGATAAAATCAAATAGACCATTAAAGGCAGTATTTCATCAGCTATTGGTGACAATATAAGTTTTCAAGCTTCACTTGTGTTCTGTGTTGTCTTCTGAAGGTGCACTTTGAAATTGGTTTTGAACAGCTTGCAGGTGCTTCTTGAAATAGCTTTATCAATCTTAAACTTACTTGATTTCAGTATTCCTTTGTAAATGGGTGGGGGGGCTTGGAACCTATTGAAAAACTTAGAAGTACCTTTTGCATTTCTGATCAAGCAGGAGCCGCTTTCTTCCCTTCAGTGTTGGGAAGCGTTCCACCACACTTCCTGAGCCATTTCATTTTGAGTTGCAACCATTCTATACTTAGAACAAACAGTACAGGAGTAGGACTAGATACTTCGTGTAAGTTCTGTTTCCTGCAAAGAGAAAGGTAAAACCCACTGCACGTAATAAAGAATATTATGCTGCTTGATTCCTGGGTTGGCTCTCCTCTAAATTTGAAGCTATGTTGTAATAACCCAGTAAGGCATTGCTGGACAGAGCTTACTGCTGACACATATAACATTAGCAGTATTTTAATACGCGCAGATTCCAAATAGGTTTTGAGGGAAAAAATATCATAATCATTATAATTTGAATTTGAAACATGTTCTGATAGTATCATATGTTCACCAAGTAAAAAATTGTAGAAATAGATTGCTTAACTTACCCAAAAGAAAAAATCAAAATGCAGTATTAAAATGAGGCAGATATTACCACATATGGGAAATTACTTTTTTCATCAATGAGAATTATTGAAATGGGTACCTGTAGCAGTTATGCAAAATAAATCATAACACTGTTATATTTATAGATTATCTTAAGTTGACATTTAAGGGTTCCCAAAGAAGAGCTTTAAAAAGGTCCTGGCTATGTTGGCATGGTTATTGGCCAATAGTATGTTTATGACTTTTTATTAGCATTAATGTAATTCTTGCAACATGTAATATAAACAGAAGTTACAAAAAGAAATGTTCTTATTGTGCATTATTTTTTAAGGAAAGCCCATCTTGAGATTATAGATATATACCCACAGGAGTGGAGCTTGAGTGTTGAGTGACAAACTGTTATCCTGTGATAAAATTACAATGATCTTGTATTACATGGTTGATTATCCTCCTTTTACTATATCAACTAAAAGGTTTACAAAACCAGAATGCGTTGAATTTCTATGTTGTGACTTTAAAGGGTCAACACAAATCTGTCGGCATTTTGCACACTGAATATGTATTATAATACAACATATTACTTTTATGGTAAAAAAAAATTTTTTTACACATATAACTACCTCCATGAATCTGATGAAATGCAGCAACATTTTTTTTAAAAAAAGGTAATGCTAAGAGCAGCATTTAAAACTTTATGAAGAAAAAAGGCCATGATGTTCTCTCGTGTGTCGGTGCTTGTGTATGAAGTCATTTTTCATTGCCATGATTTCCTGTTACTGTGTTAAATTGGCTTTTGACTTTAGTAGTACAAGATTTTATAAAAAGTTGTAGAATCTTTTAGATAAACAAAGGGAGGATCAAAATTGTCCTTTGTATTTCCATTTCTGTTGAAATGTCGACCTGATAGAAAGTCAAGTGTTGCTTGTAATTTAGAAGCCTGTTAAATAGATACAGTATTTGGAATATGACTGGCAGTTTAGGGCTTAACAGGAGACACGCTGGCTATTTTAACTGCCTCCATTGGAACACTTTGGGCCCTATTCTGCCCCATTTGTGGGGAGAAGCATGCCAGAACTTAACTTACATCCTTACAGTAATTGCCCATGGGTGCAATAAATTTCTCTGTTTTTGATCTTAGGAATCTTGGGGATTAAATGTTATAAGTTGAGTCCTTTTCACAATGAAATAAGTAATCTGATGTCTTGACATTATGGCATTGGGAATGTAGCCACAACATAAGATGAAACCACTGATTTTCATTTTGCTTTTTTTGTAATGAGGAGCAGTTAAGAAGTACATTTAAAATTCTAGAGAAAGTTGGAGGATCAAGAGGCATTTAAATGGCAGCTACCTTACAACAACTATATTGTTTCTAAGGATATTCCAGTTCAGTGTAGGATTTTTAAAAAGATAATTGGAAGAACATATTTTCAGAATATTTTAAGCTGTTATACTCATGGCCCTGACACTGTGTGCCTGAAACATATTGCAACCATACAGCAAAATTATCCAAATTCTGCACCTGCAATCTGAATGCTAGTTTGTTCCTGTGCTCTTTTGTTCATCTGAAAGGAGAATCACATCCAGACCTTATCTAATGACAACCCTATGCAGATCCATCCTGAAATCAAGAAGTAATCGCCAACAGTGGAGGGATTAATCTCTCTTCATAGAAATGCAGAAGATGCCAATTCTCAGAATTCATGCTGTGTGGTGTGATCACAGACACAAAGACAACAGTCATCCCTGAATATAATAACTAGATAATTATAAAAGAGTTAAACAAGCATACTTAGTCTCAGTAAATCACCAGCATTAGCTGTCAATCAGAAATGACAGCTACTACTATTTTGGGGGGGTACTGAATGATTTTACTAAAAAGAGCAGGTCATGAAATATCAGTAATAGGTTGCGCTGATACTGTGCCTTGACTTCACAAGCCAACAAACAAGTGGGAAAATTCCACTGAAATACAATGACTTGCTTTTAAGTAAGTGTTCTTAGGTTCACAAACCTATCAAGTAATGGTGCTCCCATCTGACCTGAATTTATCGTACATCAGGGAATCTTTGCCTTCCTGCTTATAATAAATGTTTAAAATAAGATCAATATTAATACAGCATCATTCACTTAAAAGTTATTGAAGAAAAGAGACTATTTTGACTAGCTCTTATTAGCTCTTACCAGAGTGCCAAAATGCCTCACTTCCAACAACTTAGCCGTTCCCATTGACAAAAAAGAACAATTAATACAAGCAAGGAAAATAGTTTAAATACATTTTATGCGGGACTTACCTTAACAGGAAGTTGCCAAATTCATTAATGTAGTTTGCTGTAGTTTATACTTCTTTCTGCTCCTCCATGCAAGTAATATTATAAAATAGAAAATTCTTTTTTTCAATTCTTTTTGTGGACTGGCTTTTGAAAAAGAAAAGAAAATCCCCTTTCAGTCCTAAGCATTCAGATAATTATTGTAAGCATATTTTTTTCAAGGTCTGTGGCACTTCCTAACTGCCCTTTTGAGAACTTAGACATTCTTGGATTGTCTACCAAGAAATGGTCATAGCCTCTTTGAAAGCACACAAACCAGCTACTGGAGGTTTTCTCTCCTTACCTCCTTACGGCTGGCATTTTGAGCCTTTCTCTGCTGCAGATTTCTATACGAGGTGCTATCACTGGATTTGGGATCAAAGGAAGGCTAGTAAGATATTTCATGATATTGTTACATGCTGTCATTCCAAATCTGCTTTCATGTTCATTGGTGCAAATCATGTTTACGTTAATTGAAATGATAGAACATACATAGACTGTGTTTTTAAAATGGCTTGAATGTTTGTGTTTGTTTTAAAAATAACATTACTGGAATAGAACCAATTAATGTCATAATAATGGTTTCAGCTCAACTCAAGTAAAATGAATGCATAAAAATGTATGATGTGCATTCAGTACACAAAGTGTAAGACAAATGTGGCAAGGGGGTTAAATAATGTATCAAATTAAGTATATTGTACTACAGTTTTTTGCTCATAATATTGCAGTCTTCCTCTGATCCACAAAGACAAAGAGCTTGAACATCAGGTGATTATTAGGAAAACTGCTGATCCCCCATTTTTGGTGCAGAGACAGATTGAAAAACAGATCCACTGCATAGCATGATGGCAAAATTAGTAGGACAATTCAGTCTTCTTTCAGCCTTCCCTGGATAAAACAAAATATGGTGCCTCTTCTAACATGTGACTGAAGCAAAGGCTACACAACACTTCAGAGAAGTGTATTATATTACTAGCTTATGCAGCAGTATAGAACAGTAGATGACTTCTATATGTTGGACAGATATAGTTTGAATAGAGTCATTGGGATTTACTTTTATTGGAGAAATACACATAGAGCTATTGTATTTCATAATTTGGGCCTGCAAGCTCCTATCACGTCAAGTATATGATACACAAACACTTCATAAACTCACCAGAGTGCCTCCACTTTGAGTTCTGGATCATAAAAGGTATTCTAGACAAACTGCTCTTCTCTCTGTGAGAAACTTACCCACACACACCCCTTGATGCTAGTTGATAATCATCTGTAACAGTACTCTGATTTTCAAGTTACAATGCTGTTAAAATGGATATACATCAAACGCCTGTGAGCATGAAAGATCCCAATAGGGCCCAATGAGTAAGTTATACGTCATCAAAAGACTTTCCATTTAAGGGTTCATAATTCTGCAGGTAACCTTCTGTGAGTGACTGAATGTGACTGTTGCATTAGGTTTAAATGAGTAAATAAATGCAAGTGGGACTTACTGTATGCTAGAAGGGAGTTTTGCAACCAAGACAGCCTTGTACAAATGTGTTTGCACTGAAAAAGAAATATTAAAATTACTTGGTCTCTGGTTGCTGTAAAGGTCATCCAAGCTGGATGTTCTGTTTATATTGTACAGAATTTCATATGAAATAATTACAGTTCATGAAATGTCTTCCCTTAACGTTACTGATTTATAACAGCACATTTGTGACATGGTTTTTATTGTGTCAGTGTACCATATTGTAAATGATGATAACTTGTCATGCTTAGTAAAATAACTTAAAAAAGGACAGGGATTTTTGTAAGTCTATATTTGAAAGTCCCTTCATATGGTAATACTGTGTTCATGTTGTTTATGTAGTGTTGTGTGAAATATCCATTTTGGATTGTGTTACTTTTTAAAATATTAAATAACATTTGGTTATATGTTGTGTTTTCAAGCCTTTTTTATTTTATTTTTCAAATTCCAGTGCTGTAAGAAAAATGTGCATACAATTATGTTCTGTGTTTTCAACTCATTTTATATGTGAATGTTATACTTTTTGTGTCTTAGAATTTTTGTAAAAAAATAATAATTAAGCCTTATACCACCTAATAATTTATTTTGCTAAATGCTCTTCCCAACCAACAGTTGTCTTCCTCCTTAGGAAGAGGAAAAAAAGCAAGCTTTCTCATCTTGATTCTCTAATGGTGTGCTTGAAACTTGGTTCAGCCATCGAGGTATGAATTCTCCTTATACCATTATCTTTAAAACTTGATTATAATAATTGAAATATAATTTTATCGTAGATCTTTCAGAAAACGTCTTGTATATTGAAAGATCAGTTTGAGAATACTTACAAAGTGAAGAAAAGCTTTCTTTCTTTTATACCTACTTCTTCTCCAAGGGCCCCAAGGCAACTTAAACATAATTTTCCTGTAGCAACAGTCCTTTTAGTTAGGTTGAGAGTTGGTAGCTGGTCAGGCATCAAGAAAGCTTCATGGTCATGTGGAATTTGAACCTAAAAATATATTTGATGTTGCCTAATACAAAACAGTTGAACTGTATAATTTTAGAGTCATCTGTTGGATTGCTATATTTGTTTGACAAGAATCACATATCTGACCCTTCACTGCAGGATTTTGGAAAGAGGTCTTTCTTCATACCTGATATGTATTAGTTTATTATTAAAACTAGCATTTTTCTAAAAATTAAGCATTTAGTAAAAAGATAGGTATGTGGGAACTGAAGAATGCAAAACAATTTGAATTGCCCAGTTTCAAGTTTGAAACCATTGTTTTGACTTTAAAACAGCTGTTTTGTATTGGAAAAAGACTGGATCATTGTGGGATTGTTTCCAAACAAAACAGATGTTTCAGAACACTTTCTAAAATAATTGAAACTGCTGTGTTCAAATGCAAGACAGGCTGTTTTGAATTCAAAGTAGTATATTTGGAATTTACAGTGGTTAGAATTCAATCTGGTTTGCATGCTACTGTGCAGGATTATTTTGAGGTGAAATCATTTTGGCATCTGTCCACACCTTTATGGCAAAATATTGCTTTAATTGTACATTTCTCTCAAGTGTTAAACTACCAAAAAAATCACCAAACCCTAGATTTATCATGTTCAGCTCTCCGTTTCTTGGGAAGAGAGAACAACAAATGCTTGTAGGGCACCTGTCCAATTTAATTTGAGTGGGGCACAAAGGTTATATATTGTAGGATAATCTTCTGGACAAAACTGTTTTTGCTAAGGTCTTTGGGGGCCTAAATGGCATACACGACTAGCTTGAAAAATTACCAGTAAACTTGCTGATTGGCTCAAGGGAACAAATGTTCTATTGCCTCAAACATACCAGATGTTCTCTCCCAGGCTTCCAGCTTTATTTGCTTTTCACTCTGCAATTCACTTCCTGAGACCTGAGCTTTCTCATGCAGACAGCTGTGCTGTCTCAATTCAGAAATTTTCTGCAGGGATATTGAAATGCATAAAATTGCTCCCTAAATGTCCAAATGGACTGTTTTTCACCTTTTATTCCATGTTTTTATTTCTTCCAGTAGTACTGCAAACATATATTCTACTAAGAAAAAAAATCCATTGAATTTAACGATTAGCCACTAACTATCTATAGGACTATTATTAGTTTTGCATTTCAGATTACATGCTGGAAGAACATATTATTCATTTAATTACCACTAACTTGGAAAAAACTGATGGCATAAAGTGGAATTACATGGTATACAATAGCTCAAGGAATCAAACATGATATGTCAACATTACCATAGAAAAATGAGGCCTTACGATTGGACTCTGTTCTGGGGAGTGATAGAAATTTGTCATACAATATTTCAGATGAACATGTTTTGAAAATGATTCTTAGTATTGATTAAAAACTGCAGCTTTTCTGTCACTTTAGTGAGCTTTATTATGCATTCCAAACATTCTGTCAGCGATCACTGGTGATATTGGTAGAAAGGGTGGTTTCAATTACAGAGTTATACACAGAGAAGTTGTCATCCATGCTGCTTTGGGGCAGGACATGCTGACTCACAAGCAGGCTGCTGTCATTTGAATGACATTAGTGGGATTGGGGCTTATCTAGAGCACTCACTGTGTAAACATTCCAGATATTTATTGAATAAATTTCAACAAATCTCACACACACATACCTAACCTATTGAAATCAAAAGCAGTTCAGGATTATTTCCCTTTCTAGTTTTGTAAATGCCCACTGTTAAAATGTTTTTTTTTTAATTCCCTAATCACTAATTTAAGCAGATCGTGGTAAGGATGCCTGACAAGGTGGACTTTAGGTGACACGGCTGCCCAACAGCTGCCATTAAACTGAGAAAGTTTAACAAATGTTGCTGCTTGGGCAAAGGGGAGCTCAGAATAGGATGTGTGCATGTCCATGAGAGAAAAACAAGAATGGAAAAGATTGAGTAAGACTTGAGTATTATGTGAAGGGGGCTCGCATTCAGTGTTTGGACAATGAATTTGTGAGTTTCATTATGGAAGCCATACCAGAAAGAAATGAAACAAATCAAAAGAGGTCTGAATCAATGACTTTTTACACTGATAGTATTTTCAAGGGGAATTGTCACAAAGGAGACACTTGTAAAAGATAAGTTCTACTGTATTTTGAATGCAAAACTGTACAAAATCAGTTTTTGTGGCTCATTTGACACTTGGAAATGGATTTTATCTAGACAGCTTCATAACTTAAAAGAGAAGTGTGAAGCTGCCATATCCCAAAGTGCATTTTTAAAACCTGCTTCTGTCCCTGTTCAAAGCTGTGTTATCAGCAAAATGTAGTTTAACAAACCAGGTTGCAGGCAAAGGAGACAAATGCAGCAAAGGAAGCTATAACAAGAGGAATTGAGTTCATTTCAAGGTTCAAGTGACATAGATAAAACCATAGGCCACAAGGTTGGAGGCAGAGAACAGCCTATGATATAGAAGTCCTTATATTTCTACTGTCTTGAATAGAGCAAAAGCAGAATTCTAGGCGGATTAGTAGAAAATGAGAGAGCCCCATAAGAGAGGCTCCTTTTATTAGTCTCCTGGGTTGCACTTTAAATTTCAGACATTTGATTGCTTCTTCAATTCACTCTAACAATGTTTCTGCATGGTTTTTACTCCCCAAAAGCCATTTCTCCCAAGGGTCACATTCTTAAAATCCTGCACTCTTGTGTTTTGCCTCCTTGATACAACAGTGACACTGCATGACATAGGCCAGAATCTGCAGAACCAAATGAATCCTGGGGGTCCTCATCTGAGAAACTCTAGGGTCATTGCCTATAATTATGGAAATGCTAATATCAGACATCCAGCAAAACCTTGCAAAGTTGTTCAGGAATCCATCACCCTGTTGAGGCTTTTCCAGAATGTTCCATATGGTGAAGTCAGAATTTTGTCCCCCCCAAATAGTCTTCAATCTATGGCATTTGAGCATGTTATTAATTGGTAGGTTGCCTCTTGGCTGACAGGGAGGGGGGGAGTGCAGCAGGATAATAATGAAAGTAGGAAGGGCAATGTTTTCTAAAGGGATTTGTGTTTTATTCTTGCTGAACAGGAAACTTCCCTGCCTTCCAAAGCTAATAGCCATATGCAAGAAGCTTTTCACTCTAGTTACACTGAATATGTCTGTTTAATAAAAGCACATCTGGGAACACTTGAGCGAACCACTTCCCCAAAGATTGGGGGCTTTCAGTACGACTTGAAAGCACATTAAAGAGTTTAAGAACCCTAGACAAAGAGAAAGACAGGGCAGATCGTGAAATTGCTCAAATGAAGGAGGGTCAGTAATTCTGCCATAGTAACTCCTTTTTGTTAGTTTCAGCTGCCAGGCCCCTTGGCAGTGGGGGTTGCGTGCGCTTGTGCTATTCGTCTTGCAGCTCCCTGAAACTGGGGAATAGCTGACTACTGCATCTGATTGATGGTTTGGCTTTCAAGTTTATTTCACTCTTCACTCGATTTTGGCTCCGGTTTTCATTTGCCTGTTGGGGAAGCATTACTAGATAGCTGCAGTTTGGGGCAGAACAGGGAGAGAGTGTTAGCAAATTAGCGTGGGCACATTCAACAATTCATTTCTTTCAATTGAGGGAAAACAAAGTGAATGACATTTGGTGACAGTTAAGAGTAGCAGGTAGTCTGGGGGAAAAAAACAACAACATGATCATCAGCAGAGTAGATTTGTGACAAAGAGGTTTAAACTACAAACCAGGATCTGACCATTTGGAAGAAAAATAGTGGAATACTCTGCCTTAGGCAGGAGCCAAGACTGACTTATACAAAAAAATAAATAAAAATGGCAGGGAACAAGCCAAAAGAGAAAAGGATGGCATTCTTAGACATACTGATTTAAACGAATAGAGAAAAAAATATGACATGGATAAAGTGCTCAAGTTCAGAAAGCAACAATTTAATACCAAGGAAAGTGGAAACAAAGAAGTGAAAAATATGTGAATGCAAAAATAGACTGTGAGGCAAAGAGTGTTGATAGCAGCATCTCTCTTGAAGGAAAAGAAGAGCTAACTGTTCAGAAAGTCCTTTTTAGAGCATTCAAAGCAATACATGAAGCATAAACAAGGAGCAAAAACTTCAATTTTAAATCCTAGAATCAGGCAGAAACACTATGATACAAATAGTAATTCCTTTGTACAGAGTTGATAATGTGAGTTAAAATATGTTCATCTATGATAGGATTTTGCTCATCAAAATGCTGCATTTGGGTCACTTAAGATGATATCCATAAGTTATGATAGGCTATTAAGCCTAAGATATCACCTGCCACAATGCCTAATTCAATAGAGGGGGTAATGAAGAATTATTTTCCTATTTTTATTTTATTCAAAAGTTAAAATACAAATATAAAACTTTAAAAAAAAAATCTTTCAAAAAAAACCAGACAAAAACCCCCACAAAACAAAC